TAAAAAAAAAAAAAAAAAAAAAAAACTCGGATACATATTGTTGTTTATTTTTTATTTTTTTTGAAGCGCATTGTTTTTTATTTTAAAAAATATAAATTAATCTATTTTTAATTTAGTTTTATCATACTAACATAACAGCATACTTTACACACACACACAAAAAAAAACCTAACATAACACCAATAAATTATAACCTAAGTATTTGGGAATTGGGATATAAAAGGGATTCTGCTGTTACCAATCTATTTCACTCAGCAGCCGCAGCACTGAAAACCCTAGAGAAGAGCGTGCAAGTCCCGGCTACCCACCCACCATGGTTGGAGGAGATCTCTTGTTCTTCTCCAATTACTTTATTCTGTAACCTTTTTCTTCTTCTTCTCACCGTTCCATCTTCTTCTTTGCAGACATTCAAGCGCAGGAATGGCGGTCGCAACAAACACGGCCGCGGCCACGTCAAATTCATTCGATGCTCCAACTGCGGCAAATGCTGCCCTAAGGTACTTTCATTTCACTTTCTTCCTCCCTCAATTTTATCAATTAGGCTTTTTCTGCTTTCTTAAAAGATAATCATAATCACAGGACAAGGCTATCAAGAGGTTTTTGGTGAGGAACATTGTTGAACAGGCTGCAGTCAGAGATGTGCAGGAAGCCTGTGTCTATGAACGTATTATTCTTCTTTACCTTTTTATTTCATTTTTCTTTAAAATTTCGCATCTATTTGTGTTATTTATTTGGATTTCTGATTGTTATTTCGTAGAATACACTCTTCCCAAACTGTATGTGAAGATGCAGTACTGTGTTTCCTGTGCTATCCACTCTCATGTTGTGAGGGTTCGATCCCGCACTGACAGGAGGAAGCGTGATCCTCCACAGCGATTCATCAGGCGCAGGGTAACTTTATACACCCACTTTTCTTTTTTTTCCTCTTTCCATTGTTCTATTTTTTAATATAATTTGATCTTATATTATTTCGTGTTTTCTCCTTGTTACTGAATTGACCATAGTTTGGATACACATGTGGGCTCACACGGATACACATTATGTGTTCCATTGTTTGAATGTTGTACAATTTGACACCGAACCTGATATTGTATCTAATTATCTGAGTTTACATATGGTTCTTACTTAAAGTATTAAAAATTTTAGGAGGCAACTTGTTCTTTTGAACAGATTAAATCTTAAATAAGTTCCTTTTGTACAATCACTTTGATAACCAAGAAACATTTTATATAGAAAAAACTAGCTTGCCTTGTTTTGTTCCTTGATAGAGGTCTATTATCCTCTGTACTAATTAGCCATTGATATTGATGTAAATCATCAATTTCATCTTCGAATTATTGCCCCGTATGGAAAGTTATTCTTTATGTTAAAGAATGCTATTTTAGTTGTTGTACAAGTAATAGAAATCATGCTATGTAGTCTCCAAATTTTAAACATCCCCCCCCCCACAAGTTGGTTCCTAAAAGACACTAGAATGCATCAACGTAAGGACTAAAATGTTGGATATTAAATACATCAGAGATACTTAAGTAACTTAATTACTTTCTAGGCGTTCTACTTAGGAGAGAAGGTAATATCTTTTAGATGAAATTGGTATTTTTTTCTTGAGATTGTGGATGGAGAGCTTCACAGTACTGAAAAGATATATCAATTGGTCTGTATCAAAATTGTCTTTTTCTATTCTTACATTTCAGCTGTATGATTCAGAACGCTATACAAACAAGCTTGTATTTGTTTCTCTATCTTGATGGAAAATTGATATTCCAACTAGTTAATGGTAAAATATAATTTATTGTTACAAAGGAGGTCATTTAAGATTTCGTTTACATTAGGAGAATGTGCTATATTTCTTTGAATTGACTCTGATTATCTGCATGTAAAATTTTTAGCAATGATTGATTAATATTTTTATGTATCTTTCTTCTGAATCACAACTTTATGTGACACCTATTCTTGTTTGACACTTATTCGGCTCTTTGCCAGGATGATGCACCAAGGCCTGGTCAGCCTGGTCAAGCACCTCGTCCTGCTGGGGTAGGAGCTCCTGCTCGAACCTAAAAGCAAATCCCAAGAAAAGCCTTGTTGTTATGCTGGATCAATTTTATAAGATAAACTTTTCTTTGTTGTTTAACTTTGAAAATATCAGTTTTGTGGAGAGGATTTGTTCTAGTTATCTGCTTTAAGTCTTTGGATGATATCTTCTAGTTATAATTTGGCGGCTTTAATGAAAGTGGAACCCGATATATTATTATTTTCAGCAATTTGAGAATGATATCTCCAGCGTAAGTTTTCACTGAAATATGGTTTTTAGTCGTATCTTTTTAATTTTATGTTACTTTAATTACTTTTTTACCTTATTTTTTTATATTAATTTTATTGTAATGAAATTGAAACCTTATTAGGATATGATAAACTATTTGAACTGCTTTTGATAGATGAAAAATGTTTTCATTTCCACAAATTACGATTCTTGGTAATCATGAGTGAGTGAATCACGATCTTCAGAAATAATTTTAATCTGATTGATGTGATAAATATTCTTGACAATATTTATATATATTATTTTGTAATCAAAGATTTATTAATGTATTTAACTAGCGAATAGAAATGTGACAATGTAATGTTTTGTTACTGAATTTAACTCCTTTTATATTTTGTGATTATAATTTCTTATCACAAAAGGTAATAAAATTTATATTTTAGTATGAAAATAAATTCATGAAAATGACACGTAGAAACTTTAACAATTTGTTTATAGAAGAATAATAAATAAGATTTTTTTGCTTTTCCACCAATAATTTGGCATGGTCAGAAGATTAGTAAAGTGTTGCAAAAGTTTGTCATTTCATAGGATTGAATTTTGAGTATTGTCTGATTAATTTGACTGAGTTCACTATACTAATCACGTTTGTTTAACTCTTTGGTTAGAATATTAAATATATTTAAATGAATATGAAAATGGTTTCTTTATTCTTGTGTAGGAGAAAGATAAAAAGTACTATCATGTTAAAAAGTTAAGGGAGTCTAGCTTAGATGGTGTTTACTAGTTTGGTTGTCGATTTTTAATTTGAAAGTCATTTGCATCGAAGAAGGAAATTGAATGTGGTATGATTTTTTTATAGTTTGTATGTAATATGAATTTTGAATAAGTTTTTTCATTTTTAAAAATATATTATTTAAAAATCAATTTGAAATGTAATTATTCTATTTTAAACTAGGTATAATTTTTTTTATAATATCACCACATAATTGGGTTTGACAATGATATATAGTATTTATGCGTTATCTTGAGGGTGAAAAAAAGTTTATTAATGAAAATCAAATTTGGTACTAGAAGTTTGAACTCATGTATTTTTCACTCAACCATGTTAGGTTATGGGTATTCCAAAACTGAATCAATCTAATAGGATGGCTGAAAACGGACTTAAATAATTGAAAATCAACCCAAAATCTAAAAAAAAGTTATGGGAAATTTGAATGAAAAGTGGGCTTTGAGCGTCAAACTATTAAGCATAAACTATTATCTTACATATAAGTGTTTTTAGAGACTTAAATAAAAATTTTTGTTTTTAAATTTTTTATCTAATTTGATCATTATTCATCATAATTATTTATGAATTAAATATTTATATTTTAAAATAAATTATAAAAGAAATAAAAATTTGCACTATAATATAAATTATTTATCATAAAATTTAAATTCAAATTATATGTTTAAAAATGTATATTTATATCAATTTTAAATATAATTTAATATATATATATATATATATATATATATATATGTATATATAACTTGTTATAAATTTTAATTATATATAATAGACTTGTACATTGTATGAACTAAAATACTAACACGTAAAAATAATATAGGCAAAATATACCAATATAAATATATATAATATAAGGAATCTTTTAAGATTATCCATGACAATTTTTCTAATTTTCAAAACATAAAGGCATAATTGATCATCACATCATAACTTCTCTTTTGAGATTACATTATACCAAAATATAGAAACATCAAAACAAATCATAAAACACTCTAAAGTCAGTCTATGTACTATATAAGTCCATGACATAAGCATCTTTGGGCGAATCGTTCTTAGTCAATTGTCCTACAACCTTCTGCCACTACTTCAACAAGTTAATTTTGGTTTCCTCCCATTTTAAAGACACGAACATCAAGAGAAATAATCATATAAGAGTTATGTGTGTCATAAATATAAAACATCATAAGCATTAAGCTTCAAGCTCAATCGCCACACATAATCTTTACTTACAAGAGTACTACCACATCTCAATCACAAGTTAAGGATACTCACATTAATCATCTCTACATCATACCATGCTTAATATTCCCTACATATCCCACATTGCACCATGCTACATCACTCATAAATGCATAAACAAACCCCCAAGAGGGGGGATGTTTGTCGAACTCATAGGCTCCTCAACAAATAATCAATCTTTCAACGAGGATCCTTCAAACTTGTAGGCTCCACAACTAGTCATTCAACAAGGATCCTTCGAATCCATAAGCTCCATAATCGAACCTATAGGCTCCTTGATAGATAAATCCTTCATCATGAATCCTACAAACCCATAGGCTCCTTAGCAGATAACCAATCCTTCAACTTGAATCCTCCAAACCCGTAGGCTCCATAACTGAACTTGTATGCTCCTCGATAGATAACCAATCCTTCAACTAGAATCCATTGAATCCGTAGGCTCCATAATCAAACTCGTAGGTTCCTTAATAGATACTCAATCATTCAACAAGGTTCCTTCAAATCTGGAGGTTACATAACCGATAACTAATCCTTCAACAAGAATCCTCCACACAATATACACCATCAATTAAGACTCATATAAGATTAAGCTTCACATACCTCACTTAACAATCACCAACAATTGATACATGTAATATCACACAACATTCAATAACATATGAAACTACATAAAGGCCTATGTCTTTATTTAAGACATCAAACACATCATACAACATTACATGTATACTTATGTATATAAAACAACAAATAGGTCACCCTTTCTCTCCTCACCTCCAAGATTATATGGAACTCACCATAAACCTCAACAGTGAAAAACATTGTGTTAAAATTTCAAATACTAAAATAACATTATGTTAGGGTTTCATGTCACTAACATACAAATATCACATGACACATTATTTCACTTCACATGTTTTATGTGTCAACCATGTTTAGACCACATGATAATATTATACCATATCGACACTTTCATTAAAGAAAATAGAGCACATTTAATATAGGGATAAATGAGTTATAGATTGCAATTTTGGAGACTTTTTTTTTTTTGAATTTCATTAAATTAAAGGACTAAAATAAGAAAGAGTGACAATTTCAAAGATTGAATTGGTCATTTACCCTTACTTAAATAATAGATAATAATAAAATACTTTAAAAAATTTTGGAAAATTTCAAAAGATTATAAATACAACGAGAGGTCAAACATGATTGAGACGAAAAATTGATAAATAATAAAAATTTATATTATATTTTTTAAAAATTAAGATTTAAAGAAAAATAAAATTAATCCAGTAGATAAAACAATATTATTTTACAACCAAATCATGAATCAATTAATACAATGTTGTTCTACCTTAATAGGTGATCTCAATTTTGACACCTAAATATGTAATTAGATTAAATAATATAATATTATTCTATCTTAATAGGTGGTTTAAACGTTGACACCTCAATATATAATGAGAGATATATAAATAATTCATGTCCTTTTAAACAAAATTTATGTTATTGAGTTCATTAAAAAATCACTATAAAATACAAGTTAGACATATTTATAAGAAATATCAATTTAATTTTGTGGTAATTAATTAGAAAGAATTAAAAATTTTATATAAGAGAAAACTTGCATTACAAAATTGAATACAAAGCTAAACAAAGTGAAATAAACTTGGGAAAAAAAGTTGAAGAATGATGTGATATTAATCTATTGGTTAAATTGTAAGTTCATTTTTTTTAAATACAAACATTATGGTAGTTATGGGTGTTTGTTTCAAATTTTTTGTTTCTTCTCTAAAATATTGTTTTTAAAAAATGTCCCTTCTCTAAAAAAAAGTAGTTTAGATTTTTTCTTTAAAAAAAGTAGAAAATAATTTTTTTTAAATTAATAAAAAAATAAAAGTGCTTATTTTATTAAAAAAATATTAAGAAAAAATTGATACATATTACTTTTGCGTTTTCATTATTGGATAGTTGGATAAATTCGTAGCATTTAGCTTTTTCAATTATATATTATACATGGTGAATAAACGTTTAAACATTAAGCTAAACTTCAAAAATAAAAGTTGCTACCTTTTAGTTTGAATGTGTGAATTTTTGTCTTTTAAGTTTATTTTTCAAGTTAATTATTTTTTATATTTATAAAACTTTTCAAATTTAGTCTCCTGTAATTTTTCTTTTATGAAAAACTTTCAAAATCATATTGTTTTACTCAAAATATTTACCTATTAAATCAATTAAATTTTCTTTTATTCAAAACTCAGTCACTAAAATAAGAAATCAACCCTATATATTAAATGCAAATGAGAGTGTTTTTAAGGATTATAGTTTAATAGAAACATATTTTTAGAGATTTTTTTAATTTCTGATCTAATTCAAAAATTTATTTATCATATTTATTTTTGAATTAAATTTAAATATTTTTAAAATAATTTATCAATAATTAAAAATAATATTTGTGTCAGAATATAAATTATTTAAATTTAAAATATAAGTTATATCTTTAAAAATATCTATTTATATAATTCAAATATAATATTTATATATATAATTTATTATACATTTTAAATATAAATAATAAACATTCAAGCCATAGATTTCAAATTGATAAAAAAAATAAATTATTTAGTCATATATAGACTAAAATACTATATATGTAAAAAATAAATAAAAAATCCTCATCAAACTTCAATACCTGATATTATATTTTTTCTTCTTCTTCTCAAAATTCTACTATTTTATGAATTTAAATAGAATACAGTAACAATATAATTTTTTTTATACTTATATTTAATCAAAACATATAATAATAATATTTTTTAAAAATATTTATGATATTTATTTTAAAGTTATATTTTAGATATTTTAAATTGATCAACAATATATTTATCATTTTAATGCATAAAAATTAAACGTTATTTGTTTACAATATTATTCTGTATCTAATTATATCTTAAACATTTATGTAAAAATAATAAAAATATTCTAAATAAAAGAAAATCAATATAAATATTTATTTTACTTAGTTTAAAAAAATAATCTAAAAAGATTAAAGAAACCATAGTTGTCCGTAATTAAAATTATTAATGTATCTATACTTTTATACTATATAATGAGAATATTTCTTAAGTAATCAAGTTTGATTTTCTTATTTGATGAACCATTATATTCTTTATTTAAGAATTAAAAGAATAAAAATTAAAATATTTTTAGTAACTATCATTATTTTTATCTCATGAAAATGCGACTTTGATGGTATCTAAGCTCTTCAGTTTCTACCATAATCCTTTTTCCTTCACATATAATCATAAATTGAAAAAAGAAACTAAATAATTGCATATCATCATTATTATTTTTATGTTATTTTATTTTTTTTTAAATAAATATTAAGAGATACAAAATACTTTCATAAAATTTCCTTATCGATCGATAGATTATGAAGAAAATAGAACCTCATTTTTTCAAACCGTCACAAGTGAAATATAGTAAATATGCTAATGTTATATTTATTTATGTTGATTAAAATATTAAAAAAAAAAGTTAATTTTAAAAGAAGTTATGAAAAATAAATTTTAATTTTAATTAGACATCATTTTGTTTAGCTTAAAATTATTCCAAAAATTGAAATATATATCTATATATATATATATTTATATTTATATTTAAAAGGTGTTTCTAATAGAAAAAAAAAAAAAAAAGAGTCGATTGTAATAACTATTCAGAAAGCGGGCAATAGGGTTGGGTTTTTGATTAGTTTGGGTGAACCCTAGCTATATAAGCCATCCCATTCCGCTGCTGCGTTTCATCTCACAGCAGCCGCAGAATTCAGAAGAGAGGATCGTCAAATTCTTCACCATGGTACCATTCCTATTCCTTCCTTTCATCTCATTACCTTCTTCTCACCATTCAATTTCTCTCTTTCCAGACGTTCAAGCGCAGGAATGGCGGTCGCAACAAACACGGCCGCGGCCACGTCAAATTCATTCGATGCTCCAACTGCGGCAAATGCTGCCCTAAGGTACTTTCATTTCACTTTCTTCCTCCCTCAATTTTATCAATTAGGCTTTTTCTGTTTTCTTAAAAAATAATCATAATCACAGGACAAGGCTATCAAGAGGTTTTTGGTGAGGAACATTGTTGAACAGGCTGCAGTCAGAGATGTGCAGGAAGCCTGTGTCTATGAACGTATTATTCTTCTTTACCTTTTTATTTCATTTTTCTTTAAAATTTCGCATCTTTTTATGTTATTTATTTGGTTTTCTGATTGTTATTTCGTAGAATACACTCTTCCCAAACTGTATGTGAAGATGCAGTACTGTGTTTCCTGTGCCATCCACTCTCATGTTGTGAGGGTTCGATCCCGCACTGACAGGAGGAAGCGTGATCCTCCACAGCGATTCATCAGGCGCAGGGTAACTTTATACACCCACTTTTCTTTTCTTTTTTCCTCTTTCCATTGTTCTATTTTTAATATAATTTGATCTTATATTATTTCGTGTTTTCTCCTTGTTACTGAATTGACCATAGTTTGGATACACTTGTGGCCTCACACGGATACACATTATGTGTTCCATTGTTTGAATGTTGTACAATTTGACACCGAACCTGATATTGTATCTAATTATCTGAGTTTGCATATGGTTCTTACTTAAAGTATTAAAAATTTTAGGAGGCAACTTGTTCTTTTGAACAGATTAAATCTTAAATAAGTTCCTTTTGTACAATCACTTTGATACACAAGAAACATTTTATATAGAAAAAACCAGCTTGCCTTGTTTTGTTCCTTGATAGAGGTCTATTATCCTCTGTACTAATTGGCCATTGATATTGATGTAAATAATCAATTTCATCTTTGAATTATTGCCCCGTATGGGAAGTTATTCTTTATGTTAAAAAGATACTATTTTAGTTGTTGTAAAAGTATTAGTAATCATGCTAAGTAGTCTCCAAATTTTAACCCCCCCAAGTTGGTTCCTAAACGACACTAGAATGCATCAACTTAAGGACTAAAATGTTGGATATTCAATACATCAGAGATTACTTAAGTTACTTAATTACTTTCTAGGCTTTCTACTTAGGAGAGATGGTAATATTTTTGAGGTGAAATTGGTATTTTTTTTTCTTGAGATTCTGGATGGAGAGCTGTATCAAAATTGTCTTTTTCTATTCTTACATTTCAGCTGTATGATTCAGAACTCTATACAAACAAACTTGTATTTGTTTCTCTATCTTGTTGGAAAATTGATATTCCAACTAGTTAATGGTAAAATAAAATTTATTGTTACAAAGGAGTTCATTTAAGATTTTGTTTACATTAGGAGAATGTGCTATATTTCTATGAATTGACTCTGATTATCTGTATGTAAAATTGTTAGCAATGATTAATATTTTTATGTATCTTTCTTCTGAATCACGAGTTTATGTGACACCTGTTCTTGTTTGACACTTATTCGGCTCTTTGCCAGGATGATGCACCAAGGCCTGGTCAGCCTGGTCAAGCCCCACGTCCTGCTGGAGTAGGAGCCCCTGCCCGTGCTTAAAAGCAAATTCTAAGCTTTTAGGCCTTGCTGATTTAGTTTTATGTTATGAACTTATATTCCATTTGCTGTTTATTTTTTGAATTTTCAGTTTTGTGTAGGGATATTATATTTTCTTATTGGTTCGCTTTAGTCCTCGGAGAATACTTGCATTTCCTATTGTTCTAATTTTGTGGTTTTTGAGGAGAATGAAACTTGATATATTTATATATTTGTGCTTTTGAAGTACGTTAGTTGTGGCATACTCAATTTTATCCATTGCACTCGTCAATAATGTAAAAGTGTCTTCCCAAATAGGTTTGTCCCTTGTATTACCTCAAAATCACTAGAAATATCAAACATATAGGGGTCATTGATTTTTTTATTTTATTTTTAAAGTTGGTTTTAAAACTGGATAAGAAAGCTGTGAATAAATGAATTTTTGATCTCTGTTTGAGTTGTATATCCTTGTTTAATTCTGGTCATTGGATAAATGAAACATTGAAGATTTGATTTTTTTCTTTCGGTTATTCTTTTCTTCTTTATGGTCTGTTGGTGAGTTTGATGAATAACTTTGATGAATAATAGTAGATGAATTATTACATAGATATAAAAATTGGCGGGTTTCATCGTTTCAACGATCTCTTTTTAAACACATCGGAGTTGACAATATATTCATATACACCCGTAAGTCTTATAATCACAATAGATGTTCATTTTTTGAATAGGTCAAATAAGGGGCTCGACTCTTGATGATTTGTAGATATCGCGCTAATTTGTTAGCAGGAAAAGAATACGCTATCAATAATTAAACCATGCTGTGGTCATGTAATTTTGCAACAACAATGGTCTTCAGCAGCAGATTATTCGTGCACAATAATGTGAGGGATGCGGTTGAGAGCGTTTTGGCTAGGAATATCATCACGCTTTTTCATCTAAAAATAGTGGTATATATGGTGCTTGGCATTATAAGTCGTTCGTGTTTTGTTTCACATTTTCCCCTATTTGTATTATCCCTCTAATTGGAAAGTATTCCACCACCTAATTTTATCGTTTGCTCAACATTGGAGATTTCTAGGAAAGCAGCCAAAGCAATCGATTGCAAGCGTGCATCTTTTAGAGTATCAAAGGAAGCACGGATTGAAAAGGTTTTGCTTGTTAGACTGTTATGATTTTGTGATTAGAGATTTTTAGGCATATTGGAATAACAAGTCATGACTTTTAGACATGTCCTCTTTCTAGTACTAATATTTCAACAGTAACTCTAATGACATTGTTGGAATCACTGTATTTAAGGTATTGTCTATGTTGAAGCTCATTTGTCCGTCATAATTTTTTTTCTTAAAAAGACACTTTAATGGATTAAGAAGAGAAGATGTTTATAAATTATTATTGATCTCAATTTCCAAGTAATTTAAGATTTTTAGACATATCATAACACTTTCTATTAAAAATATAGAGCAAATGTAGCACATCTTCGTTTTCTAACATACGGAGACTTCTGGTTCGAATCTCCTCCTCTGCGAAGTGGTCCTGAAATCCTCTTCACCAGTCATCCCATTTTCATTTCTTGTAAGTTGAGATTGGTATAAAGTACACATTAGATGGTGGGAATGCAGTATTATCAAACAGAATGGTAAAATTAAAATATGATGTACCATTATGATAACCTGCACACATTATTCATATGTAGTCACCAGTCAGCAACCAAAATGAGAGTGATAGGTGTAATGGTTTCACAATTTGACGCATAACAAACTTGTTACATTGATACGATGTCAAGCATCCCAAAATCTAAATACTATTTACTAACTTAATCTAAAAAAAATAGTTTGCTAACCGGGGTGCTTGTGTGAAGTATTTGTTCACCTGGTCAATTTCAAAAGAGAAACACTGAGAGTGATAGGTGTATGGACTAAGTTAGAGTTGGGTAGAATTGATTTTGATAAAATTAAATTTAATTGTTGAATGTGATTGAGATGTGTGCCCAAATTAATCTCAACTAAAGATTTTACACTAGAATGTGAGACACATTGGGAGGAATTAATTCTTGTAGATTGCTAAATGGGCAATAAAAAGGAATGAGAGAAGAACAACGGCAAAAACACAGGAGGGAATTTAAAAAGAAATTAGGTAAACCAAAACTGCAAAAAGCCTTTTGTTTTCATTTCTGTAGCTAATATAATAATCTTATTGTTGGAACTGTATACCTCCAACTAGGGTCTGTTGAGCTGATCAACTGCGTTTGAAATTGAATAACCATGGGAAACTGTTAGTCAAAGATTGGGAGGTTCCCAAAGTCTTATTCTTATTGTAATTTAGTATGCCATCATACTCAACAAAATGCATCCAATGTAAATGCAGGTTTTGCAATCGTTCCGCGAAGTGATGGCCTTTTGCAAGTAAATATTAGATTCAAGTGTATAAATAGTTTCACCTCTTGCTTCCTTAAAGAGATAACAAAGCACAAAAATAAAATAAACTTACTGGCTCTATTATCCTACTAATTTACAAGTCACAACTTTTATGTTAACTAATTATCAATGCCAAAGGGACATTTTTAATGACTGACAGTTGACTTTGCAGTTAAAATAATCCGTTGTTTTATGTTTATAGAAGCCTTTTGTCAAATTGCTTTTATAATCACTCTGACCTCTAAATTCAGTTATATTGATTATATAGTGACCATTTTACAACATTACCTGTAATGAGAGTAAAGCTTAAGCAGATTCCCTTCACCTCGTTTCGAATCATGTCAAAGTTGGTGACATCACTTGTTCCCCTCAACTTGATTGCTGCTATGTCATATGTTCCAACAATCTCTTCTGTACAAGTTTCAAAAGTCTTATAGTGCAATGGTTTCATAATAAGATGTGCAAACTTTCAAAAAGAAAATTGAGCCAAAAACACTTTACTTCCCAAATTCAGTGCAAGACCTGAAACTAATGAAACTGATTTTTTTTTTTGAAAATGTCTTCAAGGCAGAACAATAAAGAGACCTGAAAAGGTCTACAACAATAAAACAATGAACAAAGTAAAATGGGAAAAACTAATAGGTTCATCATGTGTTTGATTCATGAACCAATTCTCAGAATTCAAACAGAGAAACCAAATAGCAGTGTAACAAAAGAAAAGACAAGTACGAGTTTGAAATTGACTATCAATGGGTATTGGATAAACTCCAAATAGAACAAAAACCAAAGCAAATTAAGTATCATCCCATGCTCACAATTGAATTATAAAAATTATTTATAAAATTTGGTAACAGAAACACACGGGAAGGTGATTGACCTACCGGCAAAAAGAAAAAAACATTTATTAGTGATATATCATGACACGTCCCTGCCATTCATTTTACAAATCGTATATACCGGACGGCTTATAACTGTTTCCCACCGTGAGAGACATGTCAAGCTTTCCCACGCCACCCTCAGCCCTTATTATATCTTAATCCATTTCATTCCATCATTTACTATTAATCCAAAGAAAATAATAACTAGCCCATAAAAGATCAAAAGTTTTACATAAACAAAAATCATGTACAATTTCATCCGGATATTAGAAGGGAGATGTCATTCTGTTCCTAGAGTAATGGTAAACTATTCCCACCATGGCAGAACAAAATTGGTTAACATCCCTACCACTTGTTTGTTCCTATAAAATTTGAGACTGCCACTATTCACTAGCAAACAATTCAAGTTTCTCCCAAATTTACGTCTGTAAAAAGAAAAATAAAGAAGGAAAAGTTGACTATTATTTTCAAGGTATTCGGTCAGAACGTTCTGACCGGACCAGCAACAAAGCAACACATCAGAACTCTCCTGTTGTATCCTTCATATCCTAAAAAATGTCTATGTCAATGTTGTCAGTCCATCTTCTCATTGCTCTTGGTAGATTCCTCTTCCTTCTCCATTGCAATCTTTGGAACTACCAGCAAAGTGTCTTTAGAAAATGAAACAGCAGAATCTTCTTTCTCATCCTTTGTTGACAAACTTGGTTCTGTCAGTGATTGTGAATTCTTGTAATTGTAAGTTCCAAACTCAATATTTTCCACTTTAGAGGATGGGTAACTCTTGGCTTGCTTTGTTAACTGAGCAGACTCTGACAGTAAGGTCTTGCGAGTGCTTGGAAGAAAGGGGAAATCTTCCTTTGAGAGCTCATACGATGACCTTGAATTACTATCCATGTGTGTTTCAGAACAAACCTTTGGAAGAAGGGGGAAATCTTTATTTGAGAGCTCAAACAACTGTGAATTACCGTCCATATCTGTCTCAGAATGAATCTCTGCCAATGGAGCAGACTCTTGGGCTTGTGCTGATGGTGTAGCCTTGCAAATGCATGGAAGAATGGGGAAATACAAGCTTGAATTACCATCCATGTACGTCTCAGAATGAACCTTTACTAATGGAGCAGACTCTTGGGCTTGTATAGGCGGTGTAGCCTTGCGAGCGCATGGAAGAACAGGGAAATCTTCATTTACGAGATCAAATGGCCTTGAATCTGAATTGACGCTCATGTCAGTCTCAGAGTGAACCTCCTCTGCTTGTTGCTTTTTTGGTGGCGATTTGGGCAATGCATAGTGCTTTACAGAGGCAAATCTCCTTGGCCTGGATGCCCTTGAGCGCATATTCCAGTAGGAATTATAATTCTGCAATATTCAACCATTTTGAGGATGATATTGTGTCTTATTGCAATATTAGACTGTCTAAATTTCTACATAAGTACTTATAAGAGAAAAAAAATAAGGTAAAATGCGTTGTGCTTCTCTATAAGCTATAATCAACTTACGAACCTTAGCTTTTGGATAAGTTAAATGAAAATAACTTATATAATCAACTTCTACAAGAAGCTAGTTCACTTTACTTTCTTATTTTCTTCATCTATAAGTACTTGTTAGAAAATTTATCCAAACAATGCCTATATAGAAAAAGTTTGATAAAAATGACAATATACCAAGTCAGGTATGTATGTGCCTGTTCCTCGTGATTTCCCTCCTTCTTCAAGGCTGTAAGTTGGATGATAGAGTGTCTGTCCTGGGATATATACATCAGTACCACTTTGGTAAAACATGTTCCAATTTTGCTGCATCGATAGGGCATGGATATCGTCCTGAGAAGGTGACGATGGAGAACTGGAGCGTACAGTTACTGGTGGCATGGCATAATTGCGATACAGCTGAACATATTGTAAGCCACCATAGTAACTGTCACAATCTCCACAGAGGACAGACTCTTCAGATCTTCCAATACCAAATGGAGAAACAGGAACATCGACATCAGCCCTTTCTCCTTTCCCATTCCTGTCCAAAGTGTTGAGGTAAAACTTCTCAAGTGCTGCACCCATCTCTTCTCCTGGAAGTGTGAGGATCTGCTTAAGCCTTTTAGCACCGTAGGAAAGAGCAAATTTTAAACGATGTAAACTTGCTGCAGGTAAGTAAAAAGGTAGGCAAATAAGTGGAAGAGAACTACGCATTTAAAAAGTAGCCATTACAAATTTGAAATGATGTCATGAAACATCACAATCTCTAATTATTTTAGCATCATATATAAAACTATAAAGTCATTGCAGGAGTATATGAAATGTCAATATCTATAATGATATTTGAGTAAGCCTGGATGCACTTTTCATCAGCATGCTAATTTGTAGTGAACTTGTAGATGTTCTTAAACCATGAGTGAACATCTTCCCAACTAGAAAAACTTTTCCACGGGGGTAAAACAATGATCTTCATAAATTTCTGAAGTCCTTTAATCATTATTAAATATGAAAGTTCAAAAGCAATTAAAGTACAAAAAAAATAGATCTTCACCATAGTCGATTGATGCTTTAGTGGGAAAAATTACCTATGTTGACACTACGGCCTAGATTGTTGTCATTTCTTAGAGGATCCAAGATATTCATGAACTTCACTGGAAATTCATGGGTCATAGTCTCGGATGCCTTTGCTGAAAAAGAGCACATATCCCTATAATTCCTGAGAAACTCTTTCTGGAGCAAGAATTCACCCTGATCACATTCTGGTGTCTCTGTGACAAGCAAGTTGGGATATATCAAGGACTGAAGATTGAAAAAACATCCAACTGCTTATACATCGCAACACTTACCAACAATTTCTGGAAGGGAGGACAAGGCCTTTGGACCCCATATACTAACATAATTATGGTCCCAATCAAATGAACCATAGTAGTCCAAAAACATGTATAGCACCTGCTAGTAATAGCGAATCAGTGGTTTTATTCTTCAAGTACATTTAAAATACATATGCTGAAAGAGAGCAAAGAATATTATTGATGGAAGACTTGATTCACCTCTAGAGGACCACGCACTGATGAGTGACAACGATTAATAATATATAAGACTAATATTTCTATTGCGTATGTTGATAACAGGCCATGGTGTCCACCAAGAAGTCGGCTCTCATAATAGCACCAAGCTTTGACTAAGATAATACTGCGTTTGAAAAGATGATTCTTTCCAACAAGTTGGTCGACCTAAAAATTTAATTTCAATTAACAAAATCAGCAAAGCCTGAATATAAACTGAAAAAGAAATTTTGAATTTCAATAAGAAATATATAAATTATAGGGGGCAGAAAGAAAGAGAGAAGAGAGAGAGAGGGAGAGAGAGAGAGAGAATTGATAACAATCATCTATTACGAAATTGCATTGAGCAAGAAAATGGAAAGGGGCTAAGTAAACAGTTAACTCAATATTGAGGCCACTAAAAAGCAAGCTGACTGAATGGAGACAGAAATGTTTTTGATGGCATTCTCTACATAATCATTTACATTGTTTTTGACACAGCAGGAACCTGGAAAGTGGGAAAATAGCTAAAGAATGTATAGTACAAACTGTAGAAAGAGAAGGGTAAGCAAAACAGATATTTAAAAACATAAATGTCAACTTCACATCTGAAACAGAAACAAAGCAGTACATAGATATAAATTTGATATAAATTACAGTTCTAACACTTCATGTATTCACAATCAAGACTAAAACTAACCACAGAAAAGGTCTACTAAACTATCAAGTTTAAGCATACATAAACTGTACATATGTCGAGCAAGTTTAAGCATATATAAACTGTACACATGCTGAGCACATGGTATGTAGAAATCAAAAGACATCAATTAGGTGTAAATATTGATCAATACAAAAACCTGCTCCAAAAAGCGTAGAGTATAAAGTCCAGCCATCTGATTGAAAGAGATGTCAACGGCTATATTTTTCACAGTACATTTAACAAGCTGGACCTGCAGTCCATAATGTAAACATAAAAAAGGGTGTCTAATAAAGTTAACAGATATCATTTGACAAAAAGAACAATAAACACCACTTTCTAATCAGGTCAAACACAGAAAATGATTAATTAATTTTGAATATAAAAATCAGGAATACAATTATAACAGTTTAAATAGAAAGTTTTGTTTCCAAACCTGTGCACGTATATATTGTATGTCTTTTACTTGGTATTCAGGGTCATCTCCATTTTGAAGTATACAGTATACTTCATGTGCCAAATCCTCCTCTGCATCCTCATGACTGAGAGCGGTCAAGTCAATATCTCCATCGGGAAGATAGGTTTTTAGTGGGACAGAGCCTAATGGGAAGACCTGTTGTAGGTGATCCATAAAGAGGTAAAATATTCATTTATGATCTCCACTATAATGGTATAAGCATAATGCTTTTAACACACAAAGCTTTTAAAATTTAAAGTGATAATCAAGGTTTAAAAAAATCTGTAAATTTGAAATTGAAGATTTTCCTTTTGGAAATAGCGTCCAATTAATTCTTCAAGTCAACAATGTTCACCAGAGCAATCAATTACTTGTAATATTTACCTGAATATCATTCAATTTAGGTATGGAGAAACGAATTTATCAAATGGGGCAGGGGGGGCTGCAGGATGCACAATTATATATATATATATATATATATATATTTATAATTTTGGCTGTAATTTTTTGGTTGGTAGGAGAAAATTTGTACATGTGTGCTTGTGATCCTATGAAGTATCACTGTATCAGATCAATGAGCTGGAAAGACGTTTTCTTTTCTAGTGGTCAAGATAAGAGGAAGTGCAGTATAAAGGAAACAAAGCACAGGATGGAAAGTTTAATCCAACCTACAGATGTAGGATGATATCGATCATAAAACTTGCAAATGATAACCTGGTTTTCCATAGCTTGATTTTTATGGTTTTTTTAGATATTTAAATATAGAAGGGGGAAAAGATGGCATCAATCTGCACATCTAAGTATACCAGAGGCAACGATATGGTTGTAAAATCATGTTAAGACAGTAGAATAAATAATAAAAATCTCATTTGAATCTAACTGCTCTTAAAAGGAAAGTATGACAGGGTAAACAGGAAAAAGGACAAGAAATTTCGACCAACTATTTCTAAACAGAAATCAAAGAACATTCATAGAAAACATTAAAACATATCTAATTATATACAAAATCAATTAAAGCAGCAAACTTTACAAGAACACCCAAATAATAATGATGGCAAGAAAGCAACTTCACTAAATGAAGAAAAGACCAAATGTAGAAAACCAACTCCAATAACAGGATTTTACATATATGACGATTAGATCAAAATATTCTAACCTCTGCTCCATAGTAACCTCTAATCAACCTCTGAACATAATCAATAACATCCTTTCTGTTCACCTCAGATAGTACATTTGGTTCAATTGTCCATAGTATCTCTTGGGCCCTCTCTTCAGCCATCCGCCAAAGTTCCTCATCAATTGATAACAGCTGGCTAGGCGAGGAGAATGTTAACGGATTTTCTTGTTTATCATCCATAGCTGCAGACATTATAACTTAGACCTCCAACAAAATCAACCTAGACAACAGCACAAACACTATCTCAGCATTAACTTCAATCACTGCATGTAAACCAGCGAAACAGACCCTAAGAGAACAACATTCATGAAAACAGAAAGAATTAGCCAAATTCCATTTGGGTGAACCTAGGATTAAAGATGGGACACCTCTACCTAGTTAGATTTTAAAAAAAACGAAAATTTCTAGCTGACATGTTCCTTTTGTTTTATGTTATTATTGCGAAGTGAATTCTTCATTGTTAGTGAACTAACACAGAACATTAAAACTCATGATCTTTTTAAATGGATTCTTGTAACACTTTATTACCTCTGTTAATTTGGTTGTCATCCATTTAATCAAGATTTTCATTTAGGGTTCTATTGATCCTCACAACCAAACCGTCATCATATCATCAATAAAAGCTACTCTAACTTTTCTCCAAACACATTTGTTTCTCATCATATCTCCTCTTGTAAGTCCACTCATTCCTCCCACATTTTCATCAAACCCTATAGTTTTTATTTTCTTTTCGACACTCTCTAGCCCAACCTTTTTGTACCGTAGAGCTTTGTTAGCCTAACAGTTGCCAACAGAATGTTCTTTTTTGAGTTTGATAGGCATTTTATCATGGACACTGCTGCTCTCTCAATCTCTTTATCCTTTTCCTTTTCCTCTAGATATAAGGCCAGGACGGTAACCCATGTAATTTGAGGTACAGGAAATTTATACTTTAAACTTGATTGAATTTGGGGAAAATTACACTCACCTCCCCTAATGTCTTCTAAAATGACATTCACACCACCTCTATGTTTTAAAGAGACATTCACCTCCCTTAAATAAAGGGACACACACCCTTATTTTTTTTTTTTTTTTTTTAATAATATAACAGACACCCCTTCTTTGATAGTATCAAGGAAAGGAGTGTTTTTTAAAAAACTAGAGGAAGTGTGACTGTTATTCAAGAAGACTCCAGGACAGAGGTATTGCAATTTTCCCTTGAATTTAAAAAGGCTTGTTACAGATGTCGCAGCATATTACAGATATCAAAATTCACACAAACTATAATTCAGCACTCGAAATTGCCAAAAAAACACGGAAAAAAATCAATGTCAAAAACCCTAGTCCCAACCCAAAGTAGTAAAATCTCCCCTTCTTTAAGCAGAGACTGCTGAAAAACAAAACCATTCAACCATACAAACAACAAGCTCGATGAATTAAGGCACATTGATCAACGATGGACACCAGATCGATGACTCAATAAAAAGTACTTTGGGTTCAGAGAATTCTCCCACGAAACCACGGTGCAGCATACCTCAATGATCATCACCCATAAAAACACAAGTTGAGAGGAAGAGAGAGAGAGAGAAATTTACCACAAGAATCGCAGAAAGTTTGCAGCTTTAGGCTCTGGGTTGCAAGGTCTGGATAGCATTGCTAACGGTGAGAAGAATTAAAGCGCAGAGAAACTCCTTCCTTGATGTTCAAAGCCATTCAGAGAGTGGGCCACAACGTTAGAAACTGCGCACCTTTTGTGTCTTTACGTATAAAAATAAATAAATAGATAAAGAATACCACCTGGATTTTGAAAACCCCATCCTCAATTCACTTTATCCATTTTAGACCTACGTGGACTATTTCTCACTCTTTTCAATTTATCATCACTTCCTAAAACCTTTTTTTTTTAATAGTCATATTATTATTTTTTTTTAAAAAAGACATTATTTACTCTCACTCATGCTTGTCACCGTTTTATTATTTCAAATGAAGTGATTAAAAATTAAGAACACTGAAAAGTAATTTTCATGATTGTTTTAATAACTATTAATTCACTAACAAAATTTTGACCATAATTTTTTTTTTATGATGTTTATTATATGATACATGATATTAAATATTAAAAAAAATTATATAATTTTTTTACGACATATGTAAAAAAATTATATATGCAGTAATTATACACGTAAATTTTATTCTAATAACTTCATAATTATCAACTCTACTATCAAATTTTTAATTAAATTCAATTAGTCATTTTAAATTTATTTCGATTCAAATTTTATATATAAAAAAAACTTTCTCATAATTACAGTAAAATATTGTATATTATAAATTAACATATGTACACCACACGAGTTATTCCACTAGGATAAATCTTTGTTGAATATAACTGCAATTTATAATACAAATAAATATTATATTTAAAGTATATAGATTATATTTAAAATTATATATATTTATTTAAATACATAGAATATATTTTAAATTTATGATAAATGATTTATATTGTGATATAAGATTAATTTTAATTATTAATAATTTATTTTAAAACATAAAAATTTAATTTATAAATAAAATTTTAATTGAATAAAAAAGTTAAAAGAACCTTTAAATTCTATTAAATGAAAAAGCTTAAAAAGTCTGTCACTAAATAAAATACTTTTAAACAATATTTATTATGATTAAAATTTATAATTAAGTAAATAATTAAAATTTGAAAGTTTTTATGAATTTTTCTTAAAACTATTTCCTTATTACTTATTATAAGAAAGACACAATCCTATGTATAGTCAACCTACTAATCTTTTTAAGATTTTTTAATGAAATTACAAGTCATCCTTAACTCCCATAAAAAAAATATAAAACATAAGAGAATTTGATCATAAACCTTAATTAGTAAAAGTAAAAGGACTTAAACTAATTATATTATTCTTGCATAGTTGTAGTCCATATTTAATATATAAAAGGTAAAAATTAGGCATATTTTTATTTGTTATTATTTTTAATTATATTATTAATATGAAGTATTTATTAATTCTGTCAATAATTAATAATTATCATAGAACCTAATTAATTATTTTTAGCAGGATTTTTCTTTCCAATCAATTTTTTTATTCATATTCACAAAATTAGAACTCATATTTTATTTAAGGAAATCAAACCCATGTTAGTGTGACTAATAACTAGCTGATTTTGTCATTTATGTTTTATCACATCTAATTGAATACGATTTTTTTTTTAAGACAAGAAAACTTAAGTCTTATTTTATATTTATTAATTACTATTGTTATTATAATTAATAATGTAAATATATGTAATATTAATTTAGAGATAAGAAGTCATATTTTGATTTTCTAATAACTCGGGTTTTCTAACTACTCTTTTCAAATGTAAATATATATGTTTCTTATTTTTAATAGTAGGTCAATCTATCCTTTTTCAAGATTTGACTTGAAAAATTTTTATGATATAAAGTTATTTTTGATTTTTAATTTAAATTAAGGAAATTAAAATTTTAGATAAGGATGAATTGAAAAAATATTTTATCAACTTTAAAATGTTATTAAGATTTACTTGTTTTTTTTTATATAGTAAAATAATACGTGTTTCAATTAAGAATAATTCTCTCCGCTATGAGAGTTTGATTTTCTCTCCATCATGAGAGTTTGTTAGAATAACTACAAGTGTTAGACTTTGGTACAAGGAGGGTGGTTAGGTAACTTCATCTAATGAAGAGACTGTATTTGGTTGAGGAGGAGGAGGATGGGTTGGTTTTTCATGTGGAAGTGGAGGAGGATTCATAAGTGGATCTTTCTTTATGGTTAGTGGGACAATTCCTTACGAATAGAGCAATAAGAACTCACATCATGAAAGAAAGAATGGCAACAATCTAGAGAGTAAGTCGTGGCATTATAATCATTAAGTAGTGTGGAAGAAAATATGCACAAAGTTTTGATGATGCCAAAACATTGAAGAAAATAAAGGTCAAGTTAAAGCAAGCTGATCAAGAAGCAAGATCTCAAGTAATAACTAGATAAGTCTTGACTGCTTAACTTAGTATGTAAAATGAACTGTTAGAATTTTTAAATTTGACTTGGAGCCTGGTTCGCATCAATCTCGATCTCGATTGGTTCACATTGTCCTATGCAAACGAGAGATAATCCATGTGTTCGGGAAACATTTTACATTTTAAAATTCGTTAATTTTTAATTTATATTTTGCGAAAGTCAAATTTTGCTCATGTGATACTAACACTGTATCACTGGTTCGTGATAAGGTAGTCCTCGTACTAATCCAAACCTAATAAAAAGAAGTCGTTGCAACTTAATTATATATTCCTTCCGTTTTTTTTTCTATAGTCGTTTAAGGTTTTGCACGAGACTTAAGGAAATCATTGATATTTTAGTTTTCAAAAATATTTATTACTTATTTTTTTATTTTACCTTTTAATTTTTTTTTTTGCATTTTTTAGACTGTTGAACTACTTCATTAATGCACATTAACTTTATATGGATAGTTGGAGAAAAAGTAGGTAGACATTAAAAATAAATACACACAACAAATAACAACTTATATAATACAAACATACTTCGATGATTGAGAGGCCTTTTGGGTGATGACCAAAAGTAAAACCGTGAGGGCTAAGGCCCAAAGCGGACAATATCTCATCATTGTGGAGTATGTTTGTGTAATAACCTTATAAAAATAATTCATAAAATATTCTCTCAGACAAATATCACAATATAACCCCATCAGTGGTATCAAAGCCGCAGGTTGGATTCGGTGACAACCAATAACCCTATAACCCCTCATAACTCATAAAATATAATGTGCCATATAAAGACAGATTCCGCTGCATGAAAGGTTAGGTCCCTTGTTTGAAAGGATTCGGTGACAACTCACAACCAATAACCCTATAACCCCTCATAACTCAAAATATAATGTGCTATATAAAGACAGGAGGATTGTTGGGATACAAACAAGTCTCACATCGATAAAATAAAATAACAAATAACAACTTATATAATACAAACATACTTCGATGATTGAGAGGCCTTTTGGGTGATGACCAAAAGTAAAACCCTGAGGGCTAAGGCCCAAAGCAGACAATATCTCATCATTGTGGAGTATGTTTGTGTAATAACCTTATAAAAATAATTCATAAAATATCATCTCAGACAAATACCATAAAAATAACCCCATCAATTTTCTTCTTTTTTACATGTTTTCATCCTATTGTTTTATTCTAATTTAATAAAAAATTATTTCATAAATAATCATAAAAAAATATATCTATGCATACTCACAGGTTATTTACTAGTTATATATATAATAATAATAATTTTTTTATAAGCTAAAATTTGTATAAGCTAATTTATTTTTAAATTTTATAAGATCATCATAGTCCAGAAAATTAGCCCTACCCTGTCAAAAATTGGGATCTGTCTTTCTCACAGAGGAGAAGGAAAGTTGAGAGCACAACTCCACCAGTCCACCCTCTCTCTTCCAATGAACAATAAATTCAGAAGCATTTCATAAATTTTAAGAGTCGAAAGAAAATGAATGAGATTTTTGGAAGAAGAAACACATGCAATGTGTTGAGAGAGAAAATGGTCAGAAATTTTGGAGTTGTGCTCATGAGCTGTAATTCTAACAATCTAATTGTGCCATGGTAGACATAATATCTATGAAGGTATAGGTCATTGCTAAGTTATGTGAATACCATCTCTGCAAACAAATTTCAATCATATCAATGAATGAAAACTATTTGAACTTTAAGAGAATTCCATTAAATGGCACAATATCTTATCTCCTTGAAACATGAAGAGTATATGATACTGTTTTGCAAACTATAGAAATGAGATAATGGAATCTAACCCAAGAGGCAAATAAATCTGCATCATCAGTTTCATGGAAAATTGATCCTGGCCGGACTTGACATGTAAAAGCCCTAATAAGAGTGAGATATACAAAAAATATAGAACATGTGATTAGAAGATTGGTTAGTCACAATTAAAAGGGGTATCATTTATTTTAGAATGAACCGTTCAAACATCTGGCCGATTTTGCAGTATCATCCTACCCAGCATCAGAATATATGCCAAGCTTGAGTCCCTTTCCATGTACATAATCTGCTAGAGCTTTGATTCCTGATGGAAATGTCTTCTGATCTGGAACCAGTTGACCCTGCACTTCCACGCCCAAAACAGTAAGTAGCAGCATATATTTACCAAAAGAATGTTAACGGAATTTTAAACTTTGCTACAAAACCATTTTCATATAGAAAATGGGTAGAGCATGTAGTCATGTATAGAATACATGCTTTCCTGTTTTATTAAACAAATATGCCAGCAGACTATCAAACTACAAGTGGTACACTGTTACCCATCCTTGCACTGTGCTGGCATATGGTTTGATAAAACAGGAAAGCATGTATTCTATTGATGACTACATGCACTATTGAAAGTTCATTTTATATTTTATATGGACTTTCAATAGATTTAAGAAAAAATGTTTCAATTGGCATTTGTTAATTATTTATCTTTTTTATGTGGTAAAACTTAGCCAATATCTAACAAATGCCAGTTGAAGCATGTTTTCTTTACCCAATTGAAAGTCCAGAAAGGTAACATTGAAAGCCAACAAGTATATACAACAAGAGATGATAGTGATGAAGTTGATTCAGTAAAATTGAAGCAACAGAGTTTAGCTAACCTTCAGATTTCTTGTCACAGCAGACCAGCAATCATCTGCACATAAAATATAGTAAAATCAGATAAGTATAAATAGATGTCCCACAGCTAAAATGTTAATTTTGAACACACAAGAACATTACCTATGTTGAGGTACACATAACCTAAATCAGCCAACCCTGTTGATACCAGCGCATCAGCTGGAAAAATAAAATACATATCAGTACTGGTAGGCATAAACTACCAAGGAAAAGATTAAATCTCAGCTATTAATTGGAAAAATACGAGCCATAATGCTTGCAGTGAAACAAAATATGCCATTGGAGATTATAAGTGTAATATCATAATACAAATTGTTTTCCAATGGAATGTAAAGTCACAAGAAAAGCAAATGAATCTTTGTCTTTGATGAATAGTTAACCTATTTCACAAAAAAAGATAGCAAAACATCTCAAGAATGCAGAGCTATTTAAAGCACAGGTAGAGCCAGAGACCAAGGGGCGAAATTCCTCCCCAATTCCAAAAAAATATCTCCTATTATAACACATCATTTTCCTCTATTCCTGGACTCGGTTCAAACTCACTTCTTCTCCAGTGGCCGAAGGATATAAGTTGAGATTTTATTAGTGATTAATTGAAATAAAATCAAAGCTAAGATATGTTTATTTTTTACAAAGTAAATAAATTTTTTGATAAGAGAGGATCTAACGCTTGATTATGAAACCAAGTATTGAATGACAACTGAAGAATGAATCCATTCATAAACTAGATGTACACTGATTCATACACACGGATCAAGAAACTAAAAAGTAACTAATAAACAACGCAGAATAACTGGAAAAAAAAAAAAAAAAAAGACTAATATGACCACTTGATCACAATCCGTGGATGCACTAATTCATCGAGGAAATGGAAGTGACTCATCTACAAGTAGTAGCATCAAAGAAAGAAAACGATACCCGTTTCCTTAATGACTGTTTCGTTGATATTACATGCAAAGAAATTCCAGCTATTCCATCTACACAAAAATTAAAAGAAACATCAAAGTTAAAATACCATGGAAAATATCTTTCATCACGTGGGTCTTTTATCAATTTGGCAGTTGCAACCGGAAAAAAAAAAAAAAAAAAAACTTCATCAAAATATCAGAAGTAAAACCCCATCTCATAAATTTATTCAACTGAAGGCATAAGAGAGAGAGAGAGAAGCAAACCCCATCTGAGGCGTTTGAGCCAAGCCATTGCTCAGTTGAAACCCACCGTACTTGGAAGTGTCGTAAATAGTATGAAAGTTTGATCTAAATATGGGGTTCCCATAGTTCTGCAATAGAGGCACAAATCTCGCTGAAACCGAAACAGATGAAGCATAGAAGAAGAAAATCAACAACTGCACGAAAAGTGTATTGCTCAGTTTCTGCTTCGCCATGACTCAACACTGCCGAAATTTGGAATTGGAAAGTACACGAGTTTGTCCGATTGAAGGAACAGAACACTGTCACTTGAGACGAATCAAAAACATCATTCCAAGTCAAGCATTGGATACGATTCGACACATTTATATCAGTTATTTTTAATTTTTTTTCTTTTCAGTATTTACTCGTTATTCAATCGTTGAAATTACCCATCAAATCTTTAGTGAATTAATGAATCGAACAAAATAGTAAAAGTTTGCAAAATGAATTTAGCATGTGATAAATACAAAAATAGTATACTTACTTACGGATAAGAAATTAAGAATCTCTCATGTAATACTCCTCATCCTTACTTTTCTGTCTCTTATTACGTGTCACTGCCATAAAGTTTTTTGCATAACCAAATGGATATATGTCTCTAAAATTTGTGTTGTTGTTGAATCCAAATAACACTGATTGAGACATGCAAATTACTTACTATTCAATGAGAATGTAGCAGTGATTTAGATTGGTTTATGCTTTGGTATCATTTTGATCATATCCCAATTCCGTCCTTAATTCAACCAAGTGATTTGTTAGTTTCTTCCATCTAAATTTATATTTATTTTGATTACTGATTGAGTGGGGGATAAAAGGGTACATTTTAAATTGTTAATCATTTTATTTTATTTTATTATTAGGCTTGGATAATATCATGTTTCTATTGTCAAATATGTTTGAATATAATATTGGGCTCTAGATGCTTCTCTTTGTGTGATGGGAGCCACAAACAAATAATAAGAAGAAGAAATTACATTTTGAGTAAGATATTTTTCATCCAACGACACCTTTGCAACTTTCTTATAAAATATGGACATTTCAAATAGACAGGCGATTCTATTATGTTAGGCTGTTCCTCTGGTTTATCCCGTGAAAAGGGAAAAAGAATGACAAGAAGAAAAAAAAAACACTAGGAGTTGTAATAAATAAATAAAAATCTCTTTGGGATGGATTAATTACATTTTGTAATTAGTAATTACCAAAATTATGTTTGATGTCCTTTTTCATTTTTTTTAACTATATTAATTGTGTAAAGTATTTTTAAAAAAATACTAATCCTTATTATAAATAAAAAAAATCGGTAAAACAACTCATTCTATTAACAGAAGATAGGTTGAAAATTATAATTCACCCCATTTAGAATTAGGTTGTCAAGTTTATGGTTGACACGTAACATGAGATAAAAAAATTAAGTTGATCAATTATGTAATGAGGAGTTAACAAGTTCATCAATCAAAATCTTAAAAAAATAAAATAAAATAAAAATAGAAAATTACTAAAATTAATATTACTTTTGTTTTTAGCACACCAGTGATTTTATTTTATAAACATGTATATATTATGTCTCTTTACATTATATATAAATATATTTATTTATACATATCAGATATTGGTAGATTAAGAGTGAATTAGAAATAAATTAAATGAGCTAATATGTTAATCTTTTAACCTATCGAGTTAGTGAGATAAATTAGTGCGTTGAATTATTTAATTCAATCCTATCATTTTGTCAAGGCAAATAATTTAATCGGTGAAATTAACTTATTTTATCACAATGTCCATGATGGGCGAGTTAAATTTTTCCTTGGACTTTACTTTGGCTTGATCTTTACCTTTGAATTATTTTGTTATTATATTCTTTTTGATGTTGCCAAAGGAGGAGAGTAAAGATAAGGATCACAAAAGGAAAAATAAAACACTTATCTTAATCCTCTACTTGACTTTTTGATGTTGCCAAAGGGGGAGAGATAAGACTGCAAAGGAAAGGAAAATGTTTATTTTCTTTCTGACATTATTGTGGGCTAAGTTTGTCTAAAATATTTTTGACAAAATTATTCTTGATGCCCAACTTGACACTTATGTTTGTTTTCTCCCAAACTCTCTTCTTCCTCACAAATTCTCTGGACTTTGTGGCTGATTTCTTTTCTCTCTAGCTGAAGTCGTGAGTGAACAAGGAGGTTCATTCTCTCAAACTTGAATCCGTTCGGAGCTAGCTGGGTGCAGATTCTCTTCTTCTTCCTTTCTCCTTCCCGGAAGCTCGGAATCTTTGCACCGAGGTAAGGAAAGCTAGGTTTTTGCTGGATTGTGTGGAAATGAGTTTAGAAACTCATGAGGGGTTTGATGTTGGATGATTGTTGGCTAAGATTGAAGAAATTTCATTTTTGGGGTTTCGGGGTTTTGGGTGAAAATTTGGGATTTTCATGTTTTGATGGTTGCATGTTGGTAAAGTTGTGGTTTTTGAGTTGTTTGATGTAAATGTAGTTCATTTGATGGATTTCATGTGTTTGAGTTGGCTGATTTTGCAAGTTTTGGTTGAAATTTTTGAAGTGGTGATGGTTACTGTTTGAAATTGCGCCGGGCGTGATTTAAAATGGGGAATCCCTGGGTGAATCACGCCAGGCGTGGGGAGAACCACGCCGGGCGCACTATTAGACGTGAATCTTATGTTTTTGTTACTGATATTGCGCCGGGCGCACAAGACCTCTATAGGTCTCTGGTTGAGATTTGCGCCGAGCGTGATTTTAATGCGCTGGGCGTACGTTTTTCTTTCAGAATTTGACTTTACAGTCTTCATGAAAGTTGTAACCTTGGATGTTAGATTTCCAGTGGCGCTAGAATCACCCAAAAGGAGTTCTAGAACTCCAGATATGGATGTTTTAGTAAAGAGGGGTCAAGCTGCCAGCATTGGTTATAGCTGTTGTGGTTTTTAGAATTTTTAACAAGGTAGATGAAGGATTTAAGACTTGGTTTCTTCATGATAGTTGTAGGAAATATTCTTATATTTCATATGAGATAAGGATGATCATGGTAGGAGTAGTATAACTCCTGATACGCTATTTTATGTGAAGGTTGCCATTTCACAGTTAGTGATTTGGTTAAGTTGAAAGTTGTTTTAGGTGCTTAGGTTGATTGGTGTTGTTTGGGTGGGTAATTTGGCATGATAGATGAGTTGTAAACAAGATGGATGAGTCGTGTTATGTGTTGAACATGTTTTACGTTGTGAAGTTATTGATCATGCTGTTAATAATGTTAAGCTGAGTTTTGGTTGACACGTAACATGAGATAAAAAAATTAAGTTGATCAATTATGTAATGAGGAGTTAACAAGTTCATCAATCAAAATCTTAAAAAAATAAAATAAAATAAAAATAGAAAATTACTAAAATTAATATTACTTTTGTTTTTAGCACACCAGTGATTTTATTTTATAAACATGTATATATTATGTCTCTTTACATTATATATAAATATATTTATTTATACATATCAGATATTGGTAGATTAAGAGTGAATTAGAAATAAATTAAATGAGCTAATATGTTAATCTTTTAACCTATCGAGTTAGTGAGATAAATTAGTGCGTTGAATTATTTAATTCAATCCTATCATTTTGTCAAGGCAAATAATTTAATCGGTGAAATTAACTTATTTTATCACCCCTTACTCATTATTTTAAATAAAGTGTTGTTTTCGATCACATTTTTCTTATTCACAAAATTTAAATTTGAGAATTTTTTTTAAGAGTATGAATTCAATTTCACTAATACCAAAGTGTTGTTTTCCTCTTTTATTTCATTGAATAATGAGGTATATAAATAAAAAAATAGTTATTTAATATAATAATTATTTTCTTTTTTAATAATAAATATGAAGAATAATTTGTACATTGTAAATACATATCGATATGAATAATAAAGTTGTTAATTTTTTAATAATTTTTTTAAAAGTTATAACTTATATCTATTATATTTTTTTTATACTTGCACAAAATTAAATTTATATTATATTATATTATAAAAATGATATTTTTTATATTTTTTTTAACTGGCATAATTTCTTATATTATTACTTAAACACGAAATACTATGTGTGAATCTATTCATGAATAAATCATTAATTTAGTCTTTAAAATATCAACAAATCTCTTAAATTGCCCCTAAATTAATAAAAATAGTTTTAATAAAAAATAATAATAAAATCCCCCCCTCTTAAGTTAATTGAGGCTAAGGGACTAACAAGTAGAGATACGACTATTCTTGTTAAAAAAATTTCACATGGTGAATTTGAATACAGTGTTACAAGGGGGGTCACGGTCCTTCGATAATCATTTATTGGTGTTTGGGAGTATCAAGGTTGATGTTATCCCTAGTCAAATACTGCTTTTGCATATCCCATTTTGGGTACAAGTTCATGATCTCCTTGTGGGCTTTATGATAATGACAGTAGGGAAACACTTGAGGAATTTTTCTGATGATTTTATGGAGTACAATTCCAAAAACAACTATAGTTTTTGGAAGAGGTATATGAGGATTAGGGTGTTGGTGGATATCAAAAGGCCGCTGAAAATCTTTGAGAAGATCAAGAAACCAAAGGTTGAATGGAAGATTGTGAGTTTTAAGTATGAACGGTTGAGAAATTTTTGAAATGTTTGTGGTAAGCTTGGACATAGGGAGAAATTTTATGATGAGCTTTTTCTATTACGAATGATGTCGATGTAAGGTTGTGAGGTCTGACATTAAGGGTTGATATGTGATGTGGCAAAGACCTAGGTGGATCATAATGGCCGAAGGAGGAGGGGTCAATCTTGAAAGAATCATGTAGTAATGACAGACGCAAGAATTAGGGGTTGTATTCAAACCAATTAAAGGGCATTTACATATTTAGTGAGACTCATAATGAAGAGGAAATTATGATCGCGGTAAAAGTACAATGATGAAATTATTTCAAAAATAAATTTATTCTGAATCCCATCTTATCAATACAAGTATTTATCTCTATTAAAGGCTAGAAACCTTGTAAGAGAAGCTCCTTCTAGTAAGTACTGATTTTTACTGCCTTTGATAATAGATTTTTTTTTTCCTTTAACACAATTAGATGCTCAACCCCATCAAGACTCAGCTCTGATACCAAAATGTTGAGAAAAGACAAACATTAAAAGGAGCAAGAGTTAAATAGTATTAATAAAAAACTCACACTTTTTCAAATAGTGAAAAAGTAACGCTAATAGTAATGAGTGTTGAAGAATAGATAGACAAAACACGATATTTTTATATTGGTTCGTCTCAATTATCGAGACTCTGTCCATTTCTCAATCCAACTAGATTGAGTTCCACTATCTTAAATAAGATACAAATATTCTTTCATCAAACCACTTCTGACTCAAACCTAAGTGTTCTTTGATTTGCCTCTTCAAGTAATCTACCCAAATATTTTTTTTATAGTCAAGTTTCTCTAAGTTCAAACAAGTACTCTTTTGCAGACAAGTTTTTCCAAGCTCAAATAAATATTCTTTTCCAGATAAATCTCTTTAGGCTCAAGCAAGTATTCTTTTCCAGACT